TCACTTCCCTGAGTATGTTGCCTTTGTGCCTTAGTTAGCTTTCCCTATAACTTTGTACTTCACCTGCTGATAGCTCCTTTCTGCTGCTAATGCTTTTCTGCACTGGCTACAACTGCATTTCAGAAAAGATGGGATTCATGCACCATCGAAGGGTTGCACAAAATATTCTCAGAGGTCTCTTCCAATCCTGAAGAGCTGACTCTTCAAGTAGAGTTTGGCTCTCCCAAGAAGGGCATATAAGAAAGAGATTTCTCTTTTCAAGTGAAATCTTTCTGTTTCAATTCAAAATCAACTTCTCAGTTGCTAGGCTTATGCATCATTTCAAATGCTGGTTATTAATCTTTTTTTTTATCCAAAGGCACAAAAACTAGAGATATTAGACACATTACATTTTACTTAATCAAAAAATTAAAAGTATCTATTTTATCCTAGACACTGAATTAGACATTAAGATAAAAAGACAAAAGTGAAACAAAAAGGTCGCTTACATTCTGTCTACATAATAGAGGGTCAAAAACACAAGAGTACTAAGAGAAAAAAATTACTGTTTCCCAAAATATGTATGAGGCAAGGAAGCCAGACCATATCTAGAGTATAGTTCTGGGTGCCATACACTAGGAAAATCAACAATTAGCTAGATAACATCTAGAGGAGGACTATTAGGTTGGTGAAAGATTGTGAGAGGAGGCCATCAATATTAGTTGAAGATAGTAGGGATATTTAGACTTAAGAAGATTGGGAACAGGGAGAAGTGTGTGACAAGATATGTCTAAGCATATGAAGTGTTATCATGTGGCAAAAGGATTAATCTTGCTTTGTTTGGCCCTAGAGTATTAGAAGCAATGGATGGAAGTTATAAAGAAGACAGGTTTATCATGCATGATGTAAGGGAAAAAATACTAATAAGAGCTATATCAAAATGGAATATGTTGCTTTAGGACATAATAGATTCACTTTCACTGAATATCCTAAGAGCTCAGATTTAGAGACAGAGAGAACTCTATTGACTGGTCCAACACACTCATTTTACAAATAGGAAACTGAGGTTCAGAGAGGTCAAGTGAAATACACCAGATTATACAGGGAATAAGAATCAGAGGCAAGATTTGGACACAAGTCCTTTGACTTTTGAGTCAAGACTTCTTCCACTCTACTACCCGTGGTCTTTCACAAAGAAAAGGCTGGCTGGACACTAGAGAATGTTGAAGACAATATTCTTACAGAGTTATTGGTTGGACTAGAAGGCCACTGAAGTCTTTTCCAACTCTAATATTCTATTTTAATAGAAAGAATATTGGGAAACTAAGCACTGTGTAATTATGTTGAACAAACCTATCCCAGGATCAAAATTGAGAAAATGGACCTTCTTCCCTACTTTGAAAAGATGAGTTAATGAATATGGTTGTAGACTTGCTTAGATAATGTATTTGTTGGTTTTCTTTACTTTTTTTTATCCTATTTCTTGCAAAAATGTTTTTTAGAACAAGTCAGGGAAAGGATGCTCTCAGAAGAAAAGGTGATGTAAAACAAAGTATCAACATAAAAAGGTTTTTTTTGTTTGTTTGCTTCTGTTTTTTTTTTCCCCAAAAAACAAAATAAAACTGGGCAGTTCTAGGTTTCAGGTTTGACTATGTTCCTCATTATCTGTATGGACCTAAAGTAATTCAATTCATTTCACTGGGCCTGAATTTTTGAACTAAATAAGCTGGAAGATACAGATCATCCTTCTAGCTCTCAGATTCTATAATTCTGTATTTTCAATAGGAAAACACTAAAAGCAGCTCTACATTCTTTCAAGGCCTTTCAAATACTTCATCTCTTCAGTTTGTAATGGCAGAGGTGAAATGGGGAAAAATACACTTGAAAACAATTATTTTCAATATGGGGCATTCTTTTGCTTGTTTGAAACTCTGTTATTGTGATCTCAGCAGCTCCATTAGTTGGTTTTAAATTTTTTATTAAGCAGGCGAAATTCAGAATGCACTAAATTTCAACTAACTAGAACCTATTAGGAAAGAAATTAAACTAAATGGACATTTTTCTTAGGACTTGACTTTAAGGCAGTAAGTGGAAAGAAAATAAAACTGGTATGAGGAATTTACTTAATAGAAAAACCTTCCTATTGATTGATAGCCTACTAAAGATCAGGCATTGATGATGACAGAAACATGAATAGGTACTGCAGACATACAGCAAAGAGAGAAAAAATACAGGGGAATGTGAGCCCACAAGACACTGTATTAGGGATTTCATGAGTCCCTGAATGCCTTTCCTTTCAACCTGTAATATCAGAAAAAACTTGGCCATGAAATTTGGATAGATTAGGTGATACTGACATAACATATCTGGAGAGAAGAAGTCATAGTCAAAATCTTTTAAAGAACCATAAGGTTTGAAAGTTGGAAAGGATCTCTACAGCCACAGCCAAACCCCATAATGATATACCTGATAAGCAGTTATTCAGCCTCTTTTAAAGACTTTCATGGAGGTGGAACATGTTTCATGCTTTACAAAAAAATAAACATAAAGAAAGGAAAAAGGGAAAAAAGAGGAAAAAAGTTGCTACTTAAAATAATCCCCTGATGCACTATAAACTCTCATTGCTTAAAGAAATACTGAAATATGTTTGCTAAATTTCATTTACTAAGGCAGGAAAGTTGGTTAATACAATTTAAAATGATTTTCACTTAAAAAGGTCAAAACAGAAAGGTGTCTGATCAACCCCGAATTCACCATAAAATTCAATTAACCAGTAAATATCATTCCTTCAGCATTCTACTTATTATATTGGTCTCAACAAAGGCTATATAAATATAGTTTGCACTCCTAGAATGAGATATCTTTGAAAGGAAAATAATACAAATTGAAAAATAATCATAGAAAATTTGCCACATTAAAATATATTCATCGTAAAGTTGTCTTTCAATTTTAACAAAGCTGCTTTATTCATCCTTTAATCACTCTACTGTTTTTATCTACTTTCATTGCTATATTTAGGCATATATTTGGACCCATATGATGATAGCATTTTTATCATTTCTTACATAGCCCTCAGAATTGAAAGGAACCTTAGAAGTCACCGCTTCTTTTAACAAATCTTGGTTTTGGGACACGAGTGGGGTACTACAGATGTAGATTGTAGCACACCTTGTCAGACTTGGTTGCTTTGCTGGTCAAGCATCCTTAACTGTTTCTCTTTATTAAAAAGGAAAGTTCAATGTGTGTGTGTTTGGGCACACTTACTTTTACATTGGGGAGGGCAGTCTTATGAAATGACCATCATGAAAAAAATCAAAAGGCATTCAATTTTTAAATGGAAAAAAAAACACCACACATTAATACTCAGCTAACAGTCCTGTTTACACCATAGAAGTTGTTTCTGCAGTGATTAAACATATTGTTGAAAAAATTATTCTACACTTTTTTTTGCAAAAATCTGTTTTTCTTAAAAGCAATGAATCTTCCAGAAGTACATGTGCACACAAATATATAATTTTCTTTTTTTTTTCTTTTTGCCAGAAATGCTTAACAATGGTCAGCAACCAGAAAGTGGGACTGAAGAGACATGTAAACAAAGACATGCTATACTACTAAATGGTCTGGTGAAGGCCAAAGAAACGGAGCTTCAAGGCTAACATTAGTATGTACACAGGTGTTAGTGCGTTTGACTCCCTTTTACCTTTAATCTTGACTTGTGATTCTTCTACTGGAGCTAAGTCTTTGATCTCACATAGATTTCCAGATGCCAGTGTAAGTCCCACTCTGTTTCTGTCACATACTCTGACTAAATTTGAAAGAAATTATACTCTGTGAAAGAAAGAGACCTTAAGTTTAGTGGCTGGAGTAATGAAATTGCCCAAATAAATACCTGGCAGAGAAATTAGTTTGACAACTGTCCTTAAGCCTTCATTTCAAATTTTAAAACCCAAGACTGCGCAGCATCTGGAACAGCTGCCAAAAAGCTGTGATAAACTTTAATATTGTTGCTGTAACATTGCAATGCAGATGCTCTTCTCAGGACCCCCCTGGACAAATTTGTCATAGAGTCTAGTCCAAAAAAAAAATTATGGAAACACAATTTGTGTTCTCCTACAAGTGTGAAAGACTGAGAATTCAACTTAACAAACATTAAAATGCCAGAATTGCATTAAATACACTATGAGGCAGTCTATTATAGTGGATAGAGGCTGCACTGTGGAAACTGGAGAAAAGAGGTTAATCCTCTCAGAACCTGAGAATAGGGGTTCAAATTCTACCAGTTAGATTTCGATTCGGTAAATCAACTACCCTCAGTGAACCTCAGTTTCCTCAGCTTTAAAATCAAGGAGCTGGGTTAGTTGGCCTCTATTACTTGAGTTCAAACCCAGCCTCCGGTACTTAGGTGCTGTGGGGCTGTGAGCAAAGTCAAAATCAATCATTTAAAGATTTAAGTCCTCGAATATGTAACAGCCACAGAGCAAAATGTGAGGAACTCCACGGTAAAAAAAACAAACAAAACATAAACCAGTGCCCGCCCTTAAGGGCCTTCCACTTTAACAGTGAGACTATGGGGTAAATTGGCTAAGGGATTACAAATGTACCCAGAGCTGCTTGGAAGGGCACCAGAGTGGGGCGAGCCTGGCAAAGGCCCTCTCCCTCTCCCTCTCTCTCTCTCTCTGTCGGTGAGGGTTATGACCACACGTGGCTGGAATCAAACTCAAGACATGAGAACGTAAGGACTTAAAACTTAACGGACACTTTCACCCTGAGTCCCTCCACCCTCCCCACCACCTCTAGGGCCCTGACGCAAGGCAGGCTGGGAAGCCTCAGTGAGGCTACTTGGCTATGTTTCTCTTGACATCGCTCTTTACGGCCGCTTTCCTTTACGGCGAGCTTTGCAGCAGCTGTCACAGGCAGGCGTCTAGGCCTGCTGAGGGGTGAGAAGGCTTCGGCCTCCCCAGAGGGGAGTTGGCTTCACAGCAAATGACAGTTGCTCTTTGAATGCCCAACTGACTGAGGAAAGGGGCCCGTGCTGGGGCCGCGAGACCCCGTGGCCCCCCAGGCCCTAGCCTCCCCCGGAGGCCCGGCCAGGAAGGCTCCGCTATGCAGCTCACCGTGTACTGCGTGCGGAGGGACTCCACGGAGGTGACCTTCTCCATCCAGGTCGACCGGGACTTTGAGCTCTACAACTTCCGGGTGCTCTGCGAGCTGGAGTCTGGGATACCTGCGGGGAGGCGCAGATTGTCTTTGCAGAGCATGCTCTCGAAGACAACCACAGGTCTTTGGCGTCCTATGGCCTGAAGGATGGTGATGTAGTAATTTTAAGGCAGATACAGAATGAAGAGCCTGGCCCCCCGGGTGGTTTCACAGGGATAGACTTCAGCACTATAGCTGTGCCAGGCACATCGGCCTCCCAGCACCTTCAGCCTTCACACTCGTCAGACAACCTGGCAGGGATGGCTGCAGCCCCACACATCACGGACAATCCCGCAGTGCTCCGGGACATATTACTTTCCAACCCCCATGAATTGTCAGTGCTCAAGCAGCGCAACCCATCCCTGGCAGAAGCCCTGCTCAGTGGGGATCTTGAGAAATTTACTAGGGTTTTGATAGAACAACAAGACCAAGCCCTAAGAGAGGAAGAGAGATTTCACCTCTTTGCAGCTGACCTCTTTGATCTTGAAGCCCAGGCGAAGATAGAAGAAGCCATCAGGCAACAGAACATTGAGGAAAACATGTCCATAGCAATGGAAGAGGCTCCTGAGAGCTTTGGCCAAGTAGTGATGTTATATATAAACTGCAAAGTGAATGGACATCCTGTAAAAGCCTTTGTTGATACAGGTGCTCAGATGACTGTTATGAGCCAAGCTTGTGCAGTACGGTGTAATATATTGAGACTTGTGGACCAGCGGTGGGCAGGGATTGCTAAAGGTGTGGGAACTCAAAAGATTATTGGTAGGGTGCATCTAGCTCAGGTTCAGATTGAAGGAGATTTTCTGGCATGTTCTTTTTCTATAATAGAAGAGCAACCGATGGATATGCTTCTGGGCCTGGATATGCTCAAGCGACATCAGTGTAACATTGACCTCAAGAAGAATGTCCTAGTAATTGGTACGACAGGCACACATACAGCCTTTCTTCCAGAGAGGGAACTTCCGGAATGTGCAAGGTTGGTATGTGATCCAGGGCAAGATGACCTGGGATTGGAGGAGAAGCTCTACAAAAAGGTTTAGAAGATTTAGAATCTCAGAAGCCAAGGTGCATGTAGTATATGTGTGTTGCATTTGGAGTGCTCTATAGAACAGAGAAGAATGATAAAGAAATGACCTCACAGGCAGTGTTATCATTACTAACTTTAGGTAGTTCTAGCAATTCATCATATTCTTGAGGACTGTTCTGAGATCAGTAAAACTACTAATTTTTATCACTGTCTCTTTGTCCCAGCCTCAGCCTGCTCATACAAGTCAGCCTGCAAGAGACTGTTGAAGCTAATACTGTGAAGACTTTAGAGCTTCAGCTGAATTCCAGATAACATGAGAAAAGAAAGAATATCCCTTCCTTTACTGGACCTTTATGCCCACACTTTTGCCAGAGAGCCCTGTCAGATCAGACAGCAACCTGTCCAAGTTTTGTACTGTCATCTTGTGTAATTCATTTGGAAAAAGAAAAGGAAAGTTGCAGGTAATATAAAATATCTCCTGCTAAAGAAAACACCCTTGGCATCAAAGCTTATCTCATTAAAGAACAGAAACCTAATTTGTTGCAGCTTTCCATATGTGCAATTCACAGGTATTTCTAGGTGAAAAGGTGTTGTGTTCAGAATATCAGAATCTGTGTTAAGCAAATGGCTTTTACGAACGTGAATGAATGTGCAACCCAAGATCAAATAATAGAATGAGCCAGTTGACCAACAGTAAAATAGTAACACTGAACTTGGAGCTTTTTGCTAGAATATGGCAGAGCCTTTCTCCTGTTCAACAAAATAAAGTACAGTAAAATTTAAAAATGTGTTGCAGATAAAGGGAATGAGCAGCAGACGGGAGCCCTTCCATGTCCAAGAGGAAAATATTCCACTCTCAGCATTTTTTGAGAATTCCCTTACACAATCACCTATGGAAATAGATGTAGGCAAAGGTTATGTAATTACTGTGTGTAGTGTGGCAATTAATCAGAATGCCAATGTTAAAATTACTGGTGTTTCTGACCTTGGTGTAGATAATCCTTTGATGGAAGTAGAGGCATCAAAGCATAATACCCAACACCATAATACCCTGTAATTTTGAGTAATTCTGTTTTTACTGTTGCTTTACCACTCTCCAGATAGTAATGTTGAAATGTATGGAACAGGTAAACTGCCATATTTTTGCTCCTCATTAACTATTTAGTGATTGACAATTCTATGCATGCTACAGCTCTCTCTGCATCTATTATCTGCAGAGATACCTTGTATATTTGTAACAACTGCTTTGAAGGAACTTCATGCATTTTCCTTCTTCAGTTATAAAAAGTTAAAAAAAACTCTTATATGTGAAGAAATCATCTATCATTAGGAACTAGCTTGAGACCACATTCTCAATGAGGAGCTTTCTAAGAAATAGACCTGAAGTCAGCATCATAGGGCTTTTGAGGTGATCAGAATTAACAGGACTCTTTGGTAAGTGATTCCTGGACCAGTGACAAAGAGAGTTTAACAGCAGTATCACTGAGTCCTGGAGTGGAAACTGTTAACACTGAAGTTTCATTTGTGAGCCTGACAACTGCTTTAAAAGATATCCAAAATTGAGAGCTGTTCTGTCCTACTAAACTTGGCTGAAATATTGAATTAGCTAATACACTGCAACTTAGGTGCAGTCTTTTCATCCCAACTTGGATCCATTGAAGACGATATCACAACTAGCACTTCTGAAAAATCTGAGGCCTTGGTGTCAGATTTAATAGTAGTCCTCGATCAAGATAGTCAAAACCAATTTACTAAAGTGCCTAAAATCAGGAAATCCTATATCCTGAAGCTACAGTCTTCCTTCACAGACTAGAGAAGCTCTGTTCTTTCAGTGTCTTTCTTGCTACAGAAAATGATTGGAGTCTTACTCTTTGGTGGGCTTCTCGGGACTTTTCACTGAGTTTGTGTAAATATAAACCTTGTGTGTGTGTGTGTGTGTGTTTTTCCCGTTTTGTTAACAAAGAACATCATAGTTCCTAAATAACAGTGGAAAAGATGAACCTGACTTGTCCTCATTCCTTGGACAAATATGTATGAAGTATGTGTATACAGGTATATGTGCATATATTAATATATGTAAAATAGGTATATCTGTGTGTGTGTGTGTGTGTGTGTGTGTGTGTGTGTATAAACCTGCAAAAAAAAAATGGGATAGAATTTTTTAAAACTTTTAGAAAAAATTTGGCCAAAGCAATTTGTGATCTCTTCTGGTGAATTGGTCTATTCAATTTGATTTAAAGAAGGAGGGGGAAGGGTTGGAGGGAGAAACTTGGCCTTGCATGTAAAAAGAGAGCATTTCGCATTAAGATGATGCATTCTGGAACAAAGTAGATAGTTTTACCTTTAAGAGGAAGAAAATTATCTTGAAATTATTATTATTGGAAGGCTAATTTTGTACACATTGAATGCCTATTGCCTTCTTGGACCAGTATCTAATAAAATATAGCATGCATACATACCAGAAGCCTAATATAAAATGGATGGGGTATTTTCTTTTTTGTTATACTGAATATTAAGAAGAGTAAAGGGGCAGAATAATAACTAGATGGGTTTGATGCTGTAATATATTTTCCCAAAGGTGAAATAAGTGATTTGATTATGAGCTAATAATGTTGATTATCTCCAACGATATTTCTATGATAGAATCAAACTGTTTGTTAATTTCTTTTTCGGCAAAACATTTATTAAATGCCTTCTATGTACTATGAATTAAAGAAATGGAATAGTTCCTGCCTTCAAGGAACTTACATTCTGCCAGGGGAAAATACACATATAAATACAAATAAATCCAATTATACGCATATGCATACATTGTGTGTGTGTATGTAGTTTTGTTTTCTGAGTGGGAGACAATAACATCTGAGAAGATCAGGAAAGGTTTCCTGTAGAAAGTGGTACAATGGTTTCCAGTAGTTTCGGAGAGTATATCCAATATAAATAGATTTTTCTTTTATTCTCTCATAGGTAATCATTAAAAAGTATCAATACTGATTTTGCTTTAAGGAGACTAATGAAACAAAATTATTGCTTTCCTAAAGCAAATTATTTTAGAGTGGATATTGAGAATATATATTTAAGAGCAGATATTGAAAATCTTTGAAGATGTACACTTCTTTTTGACGTTTCACATGGTAGCCCACTCTATTGCTGTGGGCTTTCTGTTAATCACAATATCATTTTAGTCACCTATGGTAAAAAAAAAATCTTTCAAGTTAGCTTTTATTAATCCCTCTCCACCACTTCTCAAATTCAACCAATGTTCAAGTGTTGTGCTATTTTATATTCCTTTGGAGGAATCAATTCACACCTTCACCAATAGTAAATTATCGTGCTTGTTTCCCCATATTCTTACCAACATTTAATTTTGTCATGTTTTACCACCTTTGCCAATATGCTTAATGTAAGATTGTACCACAGTTATTTTGTATTTCTTTGGTTACTAGTGATTTTTGGACATTTTTTATAAACTGGTTGTTGATTTTTTAAAAAATAACTTTTGAGAAGTATAAAGTTGCTTTTGGGTTCCAATAATAAACTTCACAATATAGGATGGAGGAAGTAGTGTTAGATAGCAGCTGGTTGGGAAAAAAATGAGATTTTAGCTCATTATGAATCAGAAATATGATATTGCTGCCCTCCTCCCTAAAAAAAAAGTCATCTTTGGATACATTGAAAGGCATTGCAGGAGTAAAGAGGTGATAATCCTCTGCTTCATCAACTGTGGTTATTTTCTCGTCTTTAAAATTGCATTTCTCTTATGTTTCTGTATTAACATATATTCAAATATCCCCCTCCCCTCTTTGAGGGCTGCTTTAGCTGCATCCTCTAATTTTGCTATACTGGTATACTATTATTCATTTTTAAATTTGATATTATAGCTTCACAGATCTAAAGAATGTCAGAGGGCAGGTAGTGTAAGTCCCTCCTTTTGCAGATGAGGAATCTGAGCTTCTGTAAAGCTAAGTGACTTCTCCAAAATTTCACAGGTGGAAGAGCTTTGATCCAGGTTTCTTAATTCTTCTACTGTACCATACTGTCTCCCAAATATTCCCCAATCTTTCCTCAAAAGAGCTTTTATTTTTTTTCATTTCAGTTCCCTCTGCCTTTTCTACTCAGCAAGCTATGCTTAGTAAGAAAGAATAAAGAATGAAGAGGAAAATATTTCAGCAAACCTTACCAGCAGATCTGTGAAGCCTGACAATATATGTTAATGTCCACACGCGAATTTCCCCGCTTCTGCAAAGAAGAGGGTGATAGGGTGGTACACATTTTCTTAACAAATAAGACAAACTTTTTTCAATTATGAAAAAAAAAGTATTTCCCAGGATGATGGAGGTGGACACAGGGCTGGAAGTATTCCAATTCCAGAGGCTCCTGGGTTCAGGATCTTGGGCCAGGGAGAGATGGTTAAGGTGGTAGTGATGATTTGATGTTCCTTATACATGTTGCCTTCTATTTATCTCTCAGAGCACCTTGCTGCTTCAGGTAGGTTGACTTGCCTGCCCTAAGGGTGTCCTATTGGTAGTTGGTGGGGATTGCTGGCCCTTTTTCCATAAGAGCTGCTTCCAGGAAAGTTGACTATGACAGCTGGGTTGGAAACGTCTGGGAGGTTCTACCACTCCCAGATCTCCTGTGTCCACTTGTTGGTGGTAATTGGTCATTACCACTACCAAAAATTGTCTAGCTGGTGGAAGTGGTAATGAGAAAGAAAGAGCACTTCTCCACAATGATTTCTCCCCTCAGTAGTGGCTGTGGGGCTGGGAGTGGGTATGGTAATTTGGAGGACACTTATTTTCAAGGGTCTTGTGTTCAGGACAACTTTTTTTCTAAGCACTTTTTTTGGGAAGCTTTAGATCAAAGGCTGTGGATATTTTAGTCAGTTTATTTCCACAATTCCAAATTGCTTTCCAAAATAATTGTCCCAATTTCCAGCTTCCTCAACAATGTATTAGTGTGCATATCTTTCAATAACACTCTAACACTGGCCGTCTGTACCAATTTGCTGGATATGAGGTGAAACATCAGGAGTGTTTTTATATTTCTCTTACTATTAGTGATTTTAGAGTATTATGTCATATGGTTGTTAATAGGTTACAATTCTTTTGAGAAGTATTTGCTCTTATCCTTTAACTACTCACCTACTGCAGAGTAGCTGCTGATCTTATATATTTCTGGTACTTGTCTATATATTTTAGATACCAGACTCATCTAAGAAATTTCATTTTTGTTCCATTTGAATGTTTTCTTTAGTATACTAGATGCGTTGATTTTGTTTGTGCAGAAGCTTTTCAATTTCATATAACCAAAGTTATTGATTTTACCTTTTATACTTGTTTTTATCTTTTAAGAATTCATCTCCATCCCATAGGTGATATATGAATTGATTCTCTTCTAAATTTAATGATTATACGAATATTCAGGTTGCACATACATTTTGAATTTATTTGTGGAATGTGGTTCTTAGCCTAATTTCTACTAGACTGCTTTCCAGTTTTCCTGGAGGTTCTTATCAAATAAGGTATTCTTTCTTATTTCTGTTTTCAGGTTTTTCAAATACTAAGCTTTTGAGTTATATTAATTTTTATTCTCCTTTGTCTAGTTTATTAAAATTGACTAATCTCTATTTAAAAAATAAATAAATGGTTTTAATGACTGTTGTTTTATAATATAGTTTGAGGTTTGGAAGTATTACTTTACTTTCACTATTATCCCTCCTTTTAATTATTTCCATTTTTTCATAGATATTTGGTAGTTACTGCACATGAAATTTGTTGTTCTATAAAGTATCCCTTTGATAGTGTGATTTGTATAGCATTAAAACTTTAACTTTGATAATATTGTCATTTTATTACATTGGCAGAGCCCATCTATGAACACTGAATATTTCTCAAACTTATTTAAAGTGGTATTTATTATAGGAGTACTTTTTAGTTAAATCTATGAAGATATTGGATGTGCTTCGTTAATTCGACTCCCAGATATTTTATATATTTTAAAATTTAAATAAAATTTCCTTTTTTTAGTATTGTCCCTTTAATTTTATTAGTATCTGTAGAAATGCTGTTGATTTTTGTGATCTTATTTTGCAACCTGTAACTTAGTAAAGGTATTATCTTAATTAGTTTCTTTGCTTATTTTCCAAGTAAAATAATCTGTAAATAGGAATAGTTAAATCTCATATTTACCTTTCTTATGTTTCTCTTGTTTGAGGTATTTGCAAACTGAATCAACAGATCATATCTTTTCTTTTATTTTTTTTAACTTGCAGTTATGTTTCAAATGCCTCTCTTTTATTAAACATCATTACACCATTTTTTTATTTCTCTTTTCCTGTTGCTTTAGATAGCATTTTTAGAATTTTGTTGAATAATAGTGAGGGGAGTGGCCACCCTTGCTTTACTTCCTGTATTTATTTGGGGATTTTAAAATGTATTCTCATTGCCTATGATATTTGCTTTTGATTTTAGATAAATACTAGCTAAAATAGTATCTAGTAGATAGTTTGTAAGATATTTTAAAATTTATCTCTGCCTATCCTTTGTAATATTGTTTAATCATAAATGAATTTTGACTTTGTCAAGGGCTTTTTCTCCATCTTGAAATAATTTTATCGGTTTGTGTTGTTTGTGTTTTCAGTATGATTAATTATGTGATCGTTTTCCTAATGTTGAGTCATCTTTGCATCCCTGGTAAAAAGCCAGTTTGGTCATAATGAATGATTTCTTGGGCGAATGGCTGTAGTCTGTTTGATGGGATTTTCTTAATTTTTTTTTATCAGTATTAGTTGCTATTATTGGTAAGATATTGGTTTGAAATGGATATATTTTTGTTGTTGCTTTCTGCATCTTTTTAAAAATGGGTTTTGTATCTTGTTTTATTAATCCATTTCCCTTTCCATTTCCTTATTTTTTTTTTATTCTTTGAGTCATTATATTCATTATGTTTTTCTTCTTTTTGGTCTCTTTGTGTTCCTCATGCCATCAAAGCTTCTAAAATCCCAGCCTGAGTTTCTCTTCTAAATTATTTCTGTGTTATTACCCTATGGATCTTGACCTTTTCCA